CCCTGCCCCCAACCTCGCACCCCCGGCCCCAACCTCGCACCCCCGGCAGCCCTGCTTCCACCGGCCCCCCCAATCTCCCCAGCCTGCCCCAATTCCCCTGTCCAGTGCTACTTCTGGTGGGCAGCTCTCCCCTCCTCCTCACTCCAGAATCCCCTGGCACCTGCACCTTCCCTTAGCCCTGCACCCTCCTGGTGCCTCCCCCTTTCCTTACTGCCCCTGCCCCCTTTGCCCTCTCTTTCCGATACCCACCCCCTCAGCACTCTCTGCCCCATCCCCTCCTGCTCCTCTGTGCCCTCACACGACTTGCTCCATCCCCACTTCTCTCATGCCCACCCCTTCTTTCAAGCCTTCTCCCAGCACCTCCTCCTCCAGCCCCCAATGCCCTTCTGCTCTCCTCTCCTCTCTCAGCATCACCCTGTCCCCCCTCCCACTGACACCTCCCCTCCTACCCTTTTCCCTCATTGTCTGCACTTGGCCCCCTGGCATTTGTCTCTCTCTCCTGCACCCTGTCCCTTGGTGCCTTCTCCTTCCACTCCTCCCCCTCTGCCTCTGCCTCCTCGCCTCCGCCCAAGCCAGTTCCCTACCTTCTGCCTTCCACATTGCGGGGCCGGAGGCGGCTGGAGCCAGCGTGGCCCCGCCACGTGCCTCCGAGGACTTTTAAAATCCTGGGCCGTGACGCCATGTCATGCCTGGGCGTCCTCCCCACCCACGTGCAACGCTGCACATGGGCAGTGGCAGGCGGTGAGGAGGAGCCGCGCATGGCGTTGACACTCTGGGGGTGGGAGGACGCGCGGGGGACCCGCGCCTGGCAGAGAGACCCAGCTCCACATACTGGTGGAGCAGGGCCCCCAGCTCTGTAACTCACTGGCACTTCTGGGTTCAGGGGCGCGGGGCCTGAATCGGCCTAAGGCTGGCCCTGCTGGCAGCCACCAGGCATGCTGAGGCCTGGTATTTTTTTCCGGTGGCCAGGTATCGGGCCGCGGCCCATAGTTTGGGAAACACTGCTCTAGAACTTTGGATGTGGTTAAGCATCCAGTTTCATTCACATACGCCCCTTTTCAGAATCAGAGAAGCCTATTAGTGAGTCAGAAACAAGATACTGGATTTAGATGGACCATTGGTTTGATCCAATAATGGAGTCAAATAACCTTGGAAGGGATATACACACAGGCTGTGTCTACATTGGTGCGATCTTGTGCAAAAGCAATTGCTTTTGCACAAAAACTTGCTGTCTGTCTACAATGGCCGCTAGTTCTTGAGCAAGAACACTGATGATCTAATGTATGAAATCAGTGCTTCTTGCACAATAACTATGATGCTCCCGCTCAGGAATAAGACCTCTTGCACAACTGTTCTTGCGCAAGAGGCCAGTGTAGACAGGCAACATGAATTTTTTGTGCAAGAAAGCCTGATGGCTAAAATGGCCATCGGAGCTTTCTTGCGCAAGAGAGCGTCTACACTGGCATGGATGCTTTTGCACATGCCAGTGTAGACGCTCTCTTGCGCAAATACTTTAATGCAAAAACTCTTGCGTTAAAAGTATTTGCGCAAAATCTTGCCAATGTACACATAGCCACAACGAGCTCCTGCAAAGAAAAAGATTACAATGACAGATGGCTCTTATCCTCACAGTGCAGTGATAAATCCCTCAGGATTTAGGGACATCCTTAAGTATTTAGGAATGGACATACTGGATCAGACCAGTGGCCCATCTAGCAGCAGTATCCAACCATTAACCGTAACCAGTACTAGATACTTCAAAGGAATTTATGTCTACACTGCAGTAAGAGACCCACAGGTGCCAACTAATTCAGGCCCACAGGGCTTGGGTGAGGAACAACAGAACCTCCACTGAAGCCTCAACACCCATGGTCCCAATCCTCTGGTTCCCTCAGAGGTCCTGCTCCTCCCTTTTCTCCCTAAGGCCCCACCCCTGCCTAAACCAGATAACCAGAGCCAGTTCATAGTAAGAGCTGCCCTGGGAACCTGCACCACTGTGGGGAACCCCAGACCATCCACGTGCTATGGGTAGGGGATAGGGTGCCAGAGAGCAGTTCCAAGTCCTGGCAGCCCATGTCACTACCGCCTCATACACACTGCCCAAGGCAGGTGGAGGATCCAGGGCTCCCCACAGCAGCCGGGAGTTGTCTGGGCCCCGCTCAGTATACTGGCCTAGTCAGGACCTCAGGAGAATAGGAGAAGAGAGAGTAGGGCCCCGTGGTGGGCGGGGTTGGCCCACCTCAGCCCCCACCCCTAACCAGGAAGAGACAGGAACCACTAGTAGGGGGTGAACTTTGGCCTAAGGCTACTACACCCATGTTAAAGAATGGGAAAGCTATGGCCTTCTGCACAGACCCTTGGTTTGGACGCCTCTGGCTTGGGGCTATAACATTTCAGTGAAGCCATTCACGTTGGAATGGTATTATGCCTTTGAGAGGAAAATTATTCCTCCAGATCCCAACTAGTGATGAACCTATAGTCTAAAGTGTTTATTAATAATTATAAAAAACTTGCAAATTCCTCTATGGAACAGCTGGGTCTGTAGAATCAACACAAAGGCTGAAACAATGTATCAGCTTTCCTAGCATCAAGCAAATTGGAGCACAGCTACTCCCATGCACTCCAGCTGGGTACACACGTATATCTTGTGAGATAACTAACCCCCTAATGACTAGATGATTGGACATTGCAGAACACTTACATCACACTTCATGAACACCTGGACCCAAAAGGGGGAGAGCCAAAACCAGAAATACACAGACCGCATCAAAAAGCGCCTTGTTTGTGAAACAACATTTTAGGTTACCCATTCTAATGTCTGTTTGATGCTTCCTCCCAGCTCAGAGCTGTCATCCGAGAGGCACATTCATTTACAGCTTATTTTTAAAAGCAAACAAATTCAAAAAATATTTTCTACCTATTAAGGAGAGAGAAAACGAGAGCCAGCATGAAGAGACCTAGCAATGGAATTTTGCACTCCTGCTTGGCGTTTGCCACAAATCATGTACGTCACACTTGAGTTCTGTCTCAGAGCTTACACTTAGAGGGGATGGCTTATTAGCCTAGCCTTAGGTTGGAAACATGTAGATTCTATGGAATCAGAGTCGCCAATATCAGAGGTTTAACGCAAAGTTTTATCCTTCTGATGTAGATACATCAAGTTCCACACAATTTGCTGTGTGGAGGCAGCACAACCTTAAGGGACATTGTCAAGGTAAATCTGGCCTCCAACCCTTTTTTCTTGTCTTTTTCTGGGGGCGGAGGGACTCTGATACAAAACTGAGGACCACCAGAAACATTTCAAATTTGATAGAATCAGATTTTGGAAAGAAAAGATCTTCACTGCAGTGTTGTCAGCACAAATCTGTGCTGATACACGAGAATCTGAGAATGAAAGTGACTTAAAAAAACAACAACCATGAAGCTGACATATCTTCATTGTCCAATCTGAGAGCAATAACAACGTAAACACATGCATCTGACGAAGTGGGTCTTTGCCCACGAAAGCTTATGCTCCAACACTTCGGTTAGTCTATAAGGTGCCACAGGACTCCTCGCCGCTTTAACGTAAACACAGAACATCAATAGTTGAAAAAATTAATTTTAAAAGTTTTAATTTTAATCTGTTTTAAGTAATAGGTAAAGCATTTTCTCTTTTAAATTTATGTTTAAATTATGATCCTTTTAAGGGCTCTATCTGGTTCTAGTAGGCATTAAAAATCCCCTCTCAGGGCAGATTATGTGTCATGCTATCCCTGGAGAACACATTGCCCTCCACACTCTCATTCATTCATTGAGTTATACTCTTGCTTGCTACCCTCAATCCTAGAAAGCTGCATTTCGCTTGACCTGTGTCTGCAATTTATGAAACACTCTAGGATCAAAAAGCATTAAGAAAGAGAAGGGGATCACATCGATCAAAGTACAAGGAGTGACAGTATGAGTCCCAAAGCCTCATACAGACAATCTTGCTGAAGAGCTCTGTGCAGGTACAATGTATAAGAGGGGAGTGCACTACATTTACAACAGGGCTAGCATTTCCAAGATCACTGAGTTCAGAGATACGAAAACCTTCGCAAACAGACCCACTCAGCTTTCATCCCCATCCCCTATTCTTGTACTAAGTCTATTACCTTCTGTCCTGATCTTGGGATTTCTGAGTTGTATAATTCCTTTAAAGCAGCTGGCCTCTCCACAAGGAATGCCACAGCACTTTGCAAATCCTGTGCCTTTACCTTTCGCACAGCACTTGTCACATCACCAACCATCCTTTTACCATGTCTCGAATAGCCTTCTCAGCTGACTTGCTAACTTTCTCTGCAACAGGACAACTACAAAAGATGTCAGCACTGGGTGTGATCCTGAAAATCCTTCCTTGTACTGCCTTTGGTGGGACTACTTGTTCTGGACAGGTGAAATGAGTGTGTAGTTATCAGTAGAGATACACCCTCCTCTGGAAGTAGGCAGGAGCTCCTTCAATCAACACAGCTGTCTCCAATAGTAACGGTTATTTGAGTATCAATTGCCAATAGGGAAAAGAATCCACTGGTTCAGCGGCTTAACAGTCCTATTGACTGGGCTTACTTTTCCCATAAACTAGTAAGAGATTTCACACTAATATCCATGGCATACAAGCCCTGATAACTTTATATGTCTTTCTACACATCTCTTTAGGCACCTAGCTCCTGGGCTCATCCAACATTAACGGATACAATTTCCCTCTCCCCCAGGGCTGCTACTAATGGCTATTTGATATTAACCCTTAGGAGCGGGAAGCAACAGGGATTAATATTCACTGAATATATTGCATGCCTTCTCCTACCTACACCCTCTGGCAGGAAATCTGATTTTGCAATCATAGGACACTCTACAGCAAACTTTACTCTTGCCCTTTAAACTGCAGTAAGGCTGATAAACAGTGCTTGGAAATAAAAAGCCATAAACAAAGGAAAGACAAACAGACAAGTAGTGAATGAGATGAAGAGGAGAGGGAAGAAGTGATCCATAATGCAAAACTAACTCTTACCTTCTGCAATGGTTTGTTTGAAGGTGAGTGTAAGGTTTAGAGGCACCAAAGTCACCCTGTAGCCTGCTGGTGTCCACCTCCCCACTTCTGTAGCTCAATCAGTGGCTCCAAGGCAATCCTCTTCCCAGCTTCTGTTTAGTTACTAATCTTTACTGCACAGGAAAGGGAGAGTTGGATTTCATTTAACCCCTTGAGCCTCAAAGTTTTTGCAGGGGCTTCCTGTTTTGCTTTTGAAAGCTGGAGTTGTAACCATGCACACATGGAAGAGCCTGATTTGGGATGATTTCCAATTCCCTTTGCATGTGCATGTGCTTTAACTGAAAACTGTGCAGCTAGTTATAGCTTGGGTGGGGCTCTTCATAACTAGTTTTATTGTAGCTGCAGGCAGCATACCAAGAGACAGAAACAATAATTCCACACACTGCTCCTCATTTCCAATAAATTCTCAAAGTCTAAATAAAAAAATACTGAAATTAATCACATTTCCTCTGAAACTAGAGATGGGTCAGAACCACAGGACATCAGCCAGGCATCCCCTAGTCTGGGGGAGATTTGAATCCAAAGCCAGTTCATAGCTGGCCCCATCTCTTTGGTGAACTTCAACAGCCCCTCAGATCTGAAGGTCCCAGCATTATGGAGGAGTTAAGCCTATATCCAGAGATAATTATCGCATTTCAGGCCCATTTCAGTTTGAGATGTTCTTTTGTCCTTTAACATGAACCATGTAGTTCACATCCCCTGTGAAAAATGACATGGAGGAACTATTTAGCAACAATAAAAAGAGCTCAGGAGGAAAGAAGCTGACAAGGTGGATTACTGGGGAAAGCCTGTTGTGTCCCCAGTTATCATTCAGGGTGTGTCTAGACTACATCCCTCTTTCGACAGAGGGATGTAAATTAGACACTTCAAAAGTGCAAATGAAGCTGGGATTTAAATATCCCATGATTCATTTGCATAATCACATACTGGCACTTTTTCAAAAAGCACTATTCCGAAATTGAAACTACAGAATCTTTCAAAAAAGGCTTCTATTTTAGAAAGAACCACGTCTAGACTGTGGTTTCAATTTCGAAATAGCACCATTATGTGATTATGCAAATGAAGCATGGGATATTTAAATCCCGGCTTCATTTGCACTTTTGAAGTGCTTCATTTACATCCCTCTACTAACAGAGGGATGTAGTCTAGACGTACCCTCTGTGTGGCTAACAGATGAATGTTTTTTTGCTTATAGTTTGGACTTTGATCTTGAAAGCAGAGTCCTTCACCTGTTGATTTGAGCCCTTATTCAAGATAAAATAACTTTAAGGACCCAAATAATTGGTCCACAGAATGGACTCCACACCAGCTATGATGCCAATCAAATAGTTCCTACTCAAGCATTCAAAAACCACAAGTCAGGCCACAAAAATCATGAGACTGACTTTAAAATAAAGGGTTTTTTTGTTTTTTTTTACTTTGCCTTCTGGTTGTTGTCTTTATAGCCACATTTTCAAGTTTATCTGTAACCAAGAGAGTTAAGGATTATTTACACTACCTTTTAAATTGATGTAAGTTATGTCACTCAGGCATGGTGTTAGAATTTTTATAGACTACTCAATGAGTCAACAGGAAGGCAGCCAACTCAGTCCTGGCTCATGCCAGGACCAAACCTGCTGCAGCTCTGCAATTTAAAAGGCAGTAGGCACCAGACAGCCCAGCCCCCATCTCCTACTGTGTTTTAAATTGCAGAGATGCAGTGGGGTCTGGTCCTGGAGCTGGCACGAGTAAGGAATTGCCCACGCAATTCCTAAATGTAGTAGGAACTGAGCAGGCAGGCAGCCCAGTTTGCACCAGTTCTAGGATCAAACCCTGCTGTGGCTCTGCAATTTAAAATGTAGTAGGAGATGGGGGGTAGGCTGCCTGGCTCCTACTGCCTTTTAAATTGCAGAGTCACAGCAGGTTTGGTCCTGGCACAATGTGAGCCAGGAGTAAGCCAGGTTGCCTGCCCAGCCAGGAGCAGGCCCTGTCTGTGGCTGGCTGCTGTGGACAGGGGCTGCTTCACAGCAGCAGTCCCTATATGCAGGAGGTACCGACTCCCCAGATTAGTCCACTATCCGATAAGCAAATGCCTATCGGCTAAACAGTCGACTAGTCGATCTCCCCTCCCTGCTGCCTCTATCAGATAGAGGTGGCATTCTAAGGGGCAGCGCCGCACAGCTGATCACAGGATCAGCTGTGCAGCACTGCTGCACATGAAGTCCAGGGTCAGCTGGGGAGTCCTCAGGTGATCCCTGGCTCCAGTGGAGCATTTCTGCAGAACCCAGAATCAACTGGGGAGTCCCCAACTGACCCCAGGTTCTGGGGAAATGCCGCGTGGAGCCTGGGATAAGCTGGGGATTCCCCAGCTGACTCCGGCTCTGCGTAGCATTTCAAAGCTCTGAGTCCCCCACTGACCCCAGACTCCATGCTGCGCTGCCACTTTGAAATGTACAAGAACCCCCGCAGGGGACTCTTGTACATTTCAAAGCTGGCACCCGCATGCAGCCCGGAGTCAGCGGGACTTTCCATTGACCCTGGGCTGCATGCAGAGTTCCACATTCTTCCTTTGTACAAGAGCCCTCGCTGGGGCTCTTGTACATTTCACAGGAGGAATGCGGAAGTGCCTATTGATTAGTCGAGTAGTTGATGGAAATTCCAACAACTACTTGACTATTCAATTAACCATTCCTTAACATCCTTTTGGGACCCACTCCCATAAGCAGGGGCTGCTGTCAAAGCAACCTCCCCTGATCCCCTCACGCACTGCTGCCTCTCAGAGGGAAGCAGGAGGCACTGCAGAAATGGTGCTGGGAGGAACCGTCTTTAAAGCCAGCTTCCCCCAGCATTGGCTCCTGCTTCACCCCGCCTTGCTGACTCTGATATAGAAGCAGCAAGGGAGGGGGGATACGAGTAGTCAACTCGACTACCCAATAAGCCTCAGCTTATCAGCTAGTCAACTAATCAGCTACTTGTAAAAAAGTCACCCCCAAGTGAAGTAAATTTCATAGACTTAAAGTGGTGTCTACACTATGCTATGCCAGCAAGAGGCACTCTCTCTTCAGCATAGTGCATCCTCAACAGATGTGCTACAGTCAGGGCCAGACCGAGCCCCGGGCAGACAGGTTAATTGTGCCCTGGGTTGGGGGAGGGCGTGGAGCTGGCTGCAGCAGAACGCATGTGCCTGGCTCGGCCCAGCCCAGCTACCACCGCTGGTGCGCAGCCCGGGACAGACCAAGCCTGGCTGTGCAGGGCCCTGTGGCCACAGGGGGAAGGGCACTGCTGGCTGGCGCTGAGGGGGTTAACGCAGCCCCCACCCCGGGTGGCTGCTGCAGGGTGGCCGCTGGGAGCTGCTGCAGCCCACAATCCGGGAGCTGGGCTCATGGCGCCTGATGGCAGCTGTAAGGCGGCCATGGGGAGAAGGGCGTTGCTGGCCGGCGCCACAGGGATGCGGGTGGGCCGGTGCTGTGGGAGCCGGGCGCATGGCGCCTGATGGCAGCTGTAAGGGGCACACAGTGCCCCTTACAGCTGCCATCAGGCGCCCCCCCATAGGTTGGCGCCCCAGGCAGCTGCCTGGCTAGCCCATGCCTTAATCTGGCCCTGGCTACAGTGGCTTAGCTGTACTGATGTATCGAAGTAGTGTAAGCTATCCCAAAGAAACTTAATCTCAGCTCTCATTTAAAAGTCTCACATGACTGCTTCTGCTCTTGATTAATTTCACAGCAGAGATTTTTTTTTGCCCATGCGAGAAAGTGTGCTTGATATCTACAGACAAGCAAATCTCAAGTGGTGCCTGGTGCTCAGATACCAAGCTGGTGTGTGCTATATGAGAACTCGCGTAGCAGTGATGGTTTTCCCAGGGCCATAAACAGAGTGGGGAAAGCAGGATAGAGGTTTAGCATGCAAAGCTGTGGATGTAGAAAAATAATGAAAAACAAAGAGGTGCAAAATGCCTACTTACAGCTCCGGCTTTTCCAGATATAAAAAAAAAAATGCTTGACTTTCACTCTAAATTACTGTTACATCAATAAAACATGAGAAAATGAACAGTAAGGACAGTATGAGAGAGCACCCAGTGTGCGTGTTTGTAACATGTCTGCACAGCTAAAAATGCCAAATGGTCACCCGTCCCTGTGGACTGTAGAGGCCTGTAGATTTAAAGGTGCAGTACACAAACCTGTGCATCACAATTACACAAGCAAATAGCTGTTCCTCTCATCCATTCCTTGACATCACGTTGCATACAAGAACTAATCATTTAACAACATGAAAATAATTGTGCTGTCCCAACAAAAACTGCTCTCCATACATCCATCCAAATTCTCT